AATAAATACATTTTTAAAACAAAAACATAATAGTTTACCTTAGAGATGCAGCAATTTGTCGCTTTTAAAAGAACATTAACTGTTCTCTGTCTATTAAATACTGTATATATATATATTAGAAAGCTCACTTGTAGCCATCTCCATATTGAATTAAATTTGTGCATTTATTGTTTTAGGTTTGTGACAGCATCTTGAGACATTCACAAAGCATCTGATCAGTGCCACAGTGCTGCAGGCAGACAGGTTCCTGCAGGACAGTTCTCTAAAGCAGCTCTGAAGACCTGGAGGCTCACCCAGTGCGGAACAGGACCAAGAAGTCTGGTCTAGTCCAGGAGCTGCAGCGGTGCTGTGTCTCTGTACCAGCTGCTCTTCATGGAGAACAATCTGCAGGACACCTTCAGAGACTGTGGCTCTGCTGAAGATGCTCATCACATCTCCTCTGACCACAGCTGAATCTGAGAGGAGCTTCTCAACACTGAAGAGAATCCAGACTTTCCTCAGGTACAACATCACATCTCACTGCACTGACCATGCTCTATAGAGAAGAATCTTGTTAAAACATCCCTGAATTTAACCAGACTCATGAAGAAATTTGCTTCTCAGTTACGTACTAAAAATAAAAACTACATGACTGTTTTATTATTTGGATTTGTTTAACGAATACACTGTCGTGAAACAACTTAGTACGTGTTTGATTGCTTTTTGAGATACGTCTATTTTGGAGTTGTAGCCCCGCCTGGAGAAAAATCCACCAGCCGCCACTGACGTCTGATTCTTGTTACGCTTCAAGTTTTCTATTTCTAAGTGTTCATGTTGTTAGTTGTCCTGCCACCTTTTTATTTTAATTTAAGTTTTTACTTAGTTTTTCTGTCACTCTGGCTGCATCATGGGWCCTTGGCAGTTCTATTTTACGAAATGTCAAGAAAAGTAACAAAAATAGATAAATAAATTATCTATTTTTTGTTTTGTTTCGTTTTGTTTGTCTTGATGGGCACATGATTCAGTACAATAAAAGTGGCGTTTATCATCAGGGTAAATTCATTGTAAATTATGCTGACATGGTTAGGTGGCTGATTACTTTTTGATTTTTATTGCGGCATGTGGCAGAGGAGACTTTTCAATCCAAACAATCTTGCCAAAATGATGACTTGAAAACTAGAAATCATAGCTGGAATTGATGGAAAAATAACAGAAAACAAGGTGAAAATGCTGCAATATTACTTCAAACATAATTAATTAGTGGTGTGTGTGTGTGTGTGGGTGGGGGGGGAGTGGTGTACGTCAACCTTTTTAAAGATCAGTACCTGAAGGCTTCTATCAGACGTTCCACTTTTTGAGCTTCTCCCTGGACACGAATGTGGGCCTGAAACTTCCTCAGTGCTTCATCCAGCTCCATCCCTGAGAAGTCCATTTCATCCACCACACAGCTGCAGAGAATAAAAAGGCAAGCATCCGGAATTAGAAAAAAAAAAAGAAAAAATCTAAAAGCATATAGCAGAAGCCATATCTATTCATGCTTTCTTCCATCTGCTTCCAGGTCGCAGGATAAGTTTATTTCCTGCTGGCATTAAAGGATAAGCGCAGACACAGCTTTCTCTTCTGCTCACACATGCACCCAAAATGCTTCTAAGCAGAAAATCCTCACCATGATGACTTTAATTAAATAAGCAAAAGGTCTATTTAAATGAGCTCAGACGCACAAACACAAAATGGACAGCTTAGAGAAGTTAAAGGTGATTCTGAAAACCGAGTACAAAGTAAGATGTTTTGGTTTACTTCAAACCTGTTCTTTAAAAATGCTTCTTTTCTGCTTTCTCATCCAACTTTTGCTTTGAACGTCGTCCCGTTCAAATAAGAGAATGGAGTTAATATCACGGTTGTATTCCAGAGCTGTGGTAAGACTCGCCTTTGCCTCTGATCCTCTCTGTTTGTTGTTTAAAAAGAAAAAAAAAAACAGCAAAATGTGCACAAACACATGCACCGTGCATTCAGATGGATGACTGTGAACAAAGGGTTTATGAGTCGAGTACTCAAGTGTGACACGTGCTGCTCCAGCAGAAAACACTAGCTGATGTTATACTACTGCTAGGAAAAAAAGAGATGACATCACCACTTTTGGAAGGTTTTAGCTGTTTTGTAGACACTAAAACAGGAGAAACCTCTTCCAGAAATAACAGAAAGCGGTTGAATGGTGAAAAAGCATCATCATTCAGCTTTCAGTAAAAATTTGTTAAAGTTCGGTTTGAGTTAAACAGAAAAACCTGCTAAAACAGAAGCCTTGTCACCACAGACTCTTAGCATTCTGCTTATATTTCCAAGCTGAGAGAAATTCCTGGTTGCATGACATCTTTTCATTTGCACTCGATAGCTGCTTCTCCGTCTGGAACTTTCTCGGCTGTAATTTATTTTATTTTTTTCACAAAGCTCCAAACGTCTGACAACGCTAACRAGTCTGTGAATTCAGAAGGAACATATTTTGCATGTCAGGATCCGTGCTGTTTTTAAGACACGCAACACGACTGGCTCTGCCTGGATGGAGTCTGTGCAGGAAGTGACATCGTCTGGATGACAACAGCATATACAGTATTGCCCCTCAGCATGCATCCTTAGTGTTTAGAATTAATGGCACCTTCTAAGATGTACAAGTTGGTCTGACATGTGCACTAATGCACCCCCATACCATCACAGATGCTGGCTGTTAAACAGCACGCTGATAACGAGACGTGAAAAGAGCATTTGGCCGTTTTTCTATTTGTCTCAGTCTATCTTCTATAAGCTCAGAAAGCAGCAGTTTTTTTTCTGGGGATTGAATTCAAGGTTAAGAATTCCAGTGCAGACAGTATTTGTTAAAATATATCTGCATTAATTAGTCGAACTTGAAGTTAAACAAACAGATGTTCCTGAATTAGGGCTTCCTAAACTTTTCCATGTTATGGCCTCCTCAAACAGCGTGAGCCACAAACAATGCCACAAAATATTTACTGTAATAAAATGGAAATATTATTTCAATATATTATCACAAATTACACTGTATTTTAACAAAATGACTGAAAAATCAGGTAAGATTTTATAACAAATTAAAACATTTATTCAATATACATA